CACGAGTGCCGCCAGTTTTTGGATCAGTATAGCTGTTAAGGTTGTTAAACATTTCCAAACTTGAAACTTTTAAAAGCAAACTTCAAATTAAAGTTTCTACTTAATTCTTTCTAGCTCGATGATAGAAACGTAGAGCCGTCAGATTTCATCATAAAAGAAGATCTTGGATTGATAATTCAGCCACACTTAAATGAATACATCAGAATTCAAAATAGCTTCAGTTTGAAGGATCTTATCAAAGAACTTCAAAAGACTTGCTGCATTGACATTCTTTGATGATTTGATTTTGAGATTTCCCAATGATCTGTCTCGACTTGAGATTAATCCAAATATTAAAACACTCAATATTCCTCGCCTTAAACTTAAATTAATAACTTGCTGGCAAATTGGCCTCAAATAAATCTAATTTGCAACGATGCACTACAGAGTCCAATTGACCTGACAACAAAAGCTGCAGATTGTTAAAATGCCACTACGCGAGACTAATTTATAATTATGAAAAAACTACATAAAATGAAATCAAATTCATCGATAACTTTAATGAAAGATTTCATTTTTCTTGAGAGTCCTTACCTGATAAAGCTTGAATGAATTTTGATGTAGATAATCCAAACAGTTTGCGATTCGTTGATGTGCTTTCATGAAGACATTCAAAACCTTTCTAGCCAACATCAGAATTGTTTTGGAGCATCACCTAAGGACAACAAGAAAAATTATTAAAATTCGAAATCTTTACAAAAAGGGTATCGATGAATTTAGAAATCATTTCTGTAATTTTAATAAGTCGGGTCTGAGGTATCAATGTATAAACATACATTTTTCTAATTAATAGTGGGAAATTAAATTAAATTTGGTTTTATTTTAAAAATTCTTAAAAGTTTCAAGGGTGGAAATGTTAAACATTTCCAAACTTGAAACTTTTAAAAGCAAACTTCAAATTAAAGTTTCTACTTAATTCTTTCTAGCTCGATAATAGAAACGAAGAGCGCTCAGATTTCATTATCAAAAAAGATCTTGGATTAATAGTTAAGTCAAATACAAATGACTACATCAGAATCCAAAATAGCTTCAGTCTGAAAGATCTAATCAAATATCAGAGATTTCATTATTTCAGCTATCAAGGTTCTTTGACTACACCGCCATGTTATGAATCAGTAACATGGATTGTAGCAAATACACCTTTAAAGATAAAGACTGAAGATTTGGATGAATTAAGGAATTTAAAGGATAATGAAGGACGTTGCATCCTGAAGAATTGCCGACCAATCCAACATAGTCATCAATCACGGCAAATAACAGATTATCGTCAATATTAAATTAATATATTCATTATATTCATTATTATTATTCAACCAGAATTGATAATGAATTATCTGACAAATGAGGAACGCCACTTTACGTGATTGATTCATTGCGAGATTCGAAGATTGTAAATTCAAAGAAGTTTTGCTGATTTTTTTTAAGGGGAAGATGTTTCATAAGAGATAAAACATATGCATACACTTGTGCATAAATGTGGCCAAGTTGCGCCGCTCAGGTTATTACCATCATTTTACTTTCAATGTAACAGGAAAAAATTAATATTAAGTCCAATTAAGTCCACCACTTCATATTATTACTTTAATTACTGCTTCTGAATCTTAATGAATGGGACTTATGAAAAAACTACATAAAATGAAATCAAATTCATCGATAACTTTGATGAAAGATTTCATTTTTCTTGAGAGTCCTTACCTGTTGAAAATTGAATTAATTCAGCCTCATTAAACAGCTTCAAACTCTTATTGAACAATCGCAGAAGATGATGAGATGTCACACAAGCACATAATTTCTATTGTAGAAAAAAAGAATTTTTGCATTAAGTATCATCGCAATAACCTTAAATTCATAACCAAAAAAATTAAAATTCTTTCGGCAATCGACATTTTTTTAAATAAAACTTACCAATTTCCACTTGAAGCTTCTCAGCTTTGAAATAATCTAATGTGAAGGAATTAGTGCTTGAAATGGTTTAGTTAACCAAATTTTCTTCAAATCTCAGCAACCTATGATTTTTCACGTGTTTTTAATTTCCATTTTTAAAACTTTTCACTCAACACTTTCACTTTACACAAGAAGTTAATAAAAACTAAACACTTTAACTTTTACATCATCGTCAATATAAAATTGAATAACAACGTAATAAAAATGACCACAATTTTGCTAATTTGAATAAATTAATTTTCAGACGATGTTAATTGTTCAACTTCAAGATCTAAACTGAGAGAAATTTCTCTCCTACGTTACGGACGCACAAGACGTCTTGTACTAAATAAATGTCTCTTAATTTAGTACAGAACGTTAAGATTTAGCCGAAAAGCACTTTAAGCACAAGTTGCAATTAAAAATGAATAGCAGAGTTAAAAGTTTCAAATTAAAAAAGCGTTCTTTTTTAAGTTTTTTTACCTTATACCTAATTGTTTAAAAGATTGAAAATTACCTAATCTTGTAGTCACGACTTTTGTATAAACGTCAATATTTCAAAATGTCGCATGAAACAACACAATTCTGGCAATCCATATAAAGCATACCTATATGCTTTAAATTGAACGAGACAAAAGACTGATAGCAAAGAAAATTCATAGTTGGAAGTAGAAACCACCGCTGTCTAGAACTTTACAGACACAGATGCTTGAGGTAAGAAAATGAAAAATATAATTTTAGTATGCAGCTTTATTAAAATACATATAAAAATTTCAGGACATAAATCTTAATGATCACATTTCAAAGCTTTCAAAGGTGCCAAATAGGGTAAATGGTTAAGAGCGNAACGATGCACTACAGAGTCCAATTGACCTGACAACAAAAGCTGCAGATTGTTAAAATGCCACTACGCGAGACTAATTTATAATTATGAAAAAACTACATAAAATGAAATCAAATTCATCGATAACTTTAATGAAAGATTTCATTTTTCTTGAGAGTCCTTACCTGATAAAGCTTGAATGAATTTTGATGTAGATAATCCAAACAGTTTGCGATTCGTTGATGTGCTTTCATGAAGCCATTCAAAAAATTTGTAGCCAACATCAGAATTGATTTGGAACATCACCTAAGGACAACAAGAAAAATTATTAAAATTCGAAATCTTTACAAAAAGGGTATCGATGAATTTAGAAATCATTTCTGTAATTTTAATAAGTCGGGTCTGAGGTATCAATGTATAAACATACATTTTTCTAATTAATAGTGGGAAATTAAATTAAATTTGGTTTTATTTTAAAAATTCTTAAAAGTTTCAAGGGTGGAAATGTTAAACATTTCCAAACTTGAAACTTTTAAAAGCAAACTTCAAATTAAAGTTTCTACTTAATTCTTTCTAGCTCGATGATAGAAACGTAGAGCCGTCAGATTTCATCATAAAAGAAGATCTTGGATTGATAATTCAGCCACACTTAAATGAATACATCAGAATTCAAAATAGCTTCAGTTTGAAGGATCTTATTAAAGAACTTCAAAAGACTTGCTGCATTGACATTCTTTGATGATTTGATTTTGAGATTTCCCAATGATCTGTCTCGACTTGAGATTAATCCAAATATTAAAACACTCAATATTCCTCGCCTTAAACTTAAATTAATAACTTGCTGGCAAATTGGCCTCAAATAAATCTAATTTGCAACGATGCACTACAGAGTCCAATTGACCTGACAACAAAAGCTGCAGATTGTTAAAATGCCACTACGCGAGACTAATTTATAATTATGAAAAAACTACATAAAATGAAATCAAATTCATCGATAACTTTAATGAAAGATTTCATTTTTCTTGAGAGTCCTTACCTGATAAAGCTTGAATGAATTTTGATGTAGATAATCCAAACAGTTTGCGATTCGTTGATGTGCTTTCATGAAGACATTCAAAACCTTTCTAGCCAACATCAGAATTGTTTTGGAGCATCACCTAAGGACAACAAGAAAAATTATTAAAATTCGAAATCTTTACAAAAAGGGTATCGATGAATTTAGAAATCATTTCTGTAATTTTAATAAGTCGGGTCTGAGGTATCAATGTATAAACATACATTTTTCTAATTAATAGTGGGAAATTAAATTAAATTTGGTTTTATTTTAAAAATTCTTAAAAGTTTCAAGGGTGGAAATGTTAAACATTTCCAAACTTGAAACTTTTAAAAGCAAACTTCAAATTAAAGTTTCTACTTAATTCTTTCTAGCTCGATGATAGAAACGTAGAGCCGTCAGATTTCATCATAAAAGAAGATCTTGGATTGATAATTCAGCCACACTTAAATGAATACATCAGAATTCAAAATAGCTTCAGTTTGAAGGATCTTATTAAAGAACTTCAAAAGACTTGCTGCATTGACATTCTTTGATGATTTGATTTTGAGATTTCCCAATGATCTGTCTCGACTTGAGATTAATCCAAATATTAAAACACTCAATATTCCTCGCCTTAAACTTAAATTAATAACTTGCTGGCAAATTGGCCTCAAATAAATCTAATTTGCAACGATGCACTACAGAGTCCAATTGACCTGACAACAAAAGCTGCAGATTGTTAAAATGCCACTACGCGAGACTAATTTATAATTATGAAAAAACTACATAAAATGAAATCAAATTCATCGATAACTTTAATGAAAGATTTCATTTTTCTTGAGAGTCCTTACCTGATAAAGCTTGAATGAATTTTGATGTAGATAATCCAAGCAGTTTGCGATTCGTTGATGTGCTTTCATGAAGCCATTCAAAACCTTTGTAGCCAACATCAGAATTGATTTGGAACATCACCTAAGGACAACAAGAAAAATTATTAAAATTCGAAATCTTTAAAAAAAGGGTATCGATGAATTTAGAAATCATTTCTGTAATTTTAATAAGTCGGCTCTGAGGTATCAATGTATAAACATACATTTTTATAATTAATAATGGAAAATTTAATCTGCTAGATAAATCAAGATAAAAATGTATTAGATGGAATTAACCTTCACATCTGAAGAAATTGACAAGTGTCTAATTCTGAATAAATACAATGATCAAAAGGAATACAGCCAACAACAGTTCTTAAAGATGGTTCGCGATAAAATTCACAACCTTTGGAACTGTGTATTCAGAACTGATACAAAACCTGTAAAATCAGGTTCATCCATCTACTTCTATCGGAAATGTGAGTCGTCGAATCTCACGTCACATCAAAGTCATATCACTGTAAATGTAAATGAAAGTGAAGTGATAAATGAGAATTTGAAAATGACGGTCAGTAATTGTATACAGATAAAACATATGCATACACTTGTGCATAAATGTGGACAAGTTGCGCCGCTCGTGTTATTACCATCATTTTACTTTCAATGTAACAAGAAAAAATTAATATTAAGTCCAATTAAGTCCACCACTTCATATTATTACTTTAATTACTGCTTCTGAATCTTAATGAATGGGACTTATGAAAAATTACAAGAAATGAAATAAAATTCATCGATAACTTTGATGAAAGATTTCATTTTTCTTGAGAGTCCTTACCTGATAAAGCTTGAATGAATTTTGATGTAGATAATCCAAACAGTTTGCGATTCGTTGATGTGCTTTCATGAAGACATTCAAAACCTTTCTAGCCAACATCAAAATTGTTTTGGAGCATCACCTAAGGACAACAAGAAAAATTATTAAAATTCGAAATCTTTACAAAAAGGGTATCGATGAATTTAGAAATCATTTCTGTAATTTTAATAAGTCGGGTCTGAGGTATCAATGTATAAACATACATTTTTCTAATTAATAGTGGGAAATTAAATTAAATTTGGTTTTATTTTAAAAATTCTTAAAAGTTTCAAGGGTGGAAATGTTAAACATTTCCAAACTTGAAACTTTTAAAAGCAAACTTCAAATTAAAGTTTCTACTTAATTCTTTCTAGCTCGATGATAGAAACGTAGAGCCGTCAGATTTCATCATAAAAGAAGATCTTGGATTGATAATTCAGCCACACTTAAATGAATACATCAGAATTCAAAATAGCTTCAGTTTGAAGGATCTTATTAAAGAACTTCAAAAGACTTGCTGCATTGACATTCTTTGATGATTTGATTTTGAGATTTCCCAATGATCTGTCTCGACTTGAGATTAATCCAAATATTAAAACACTCAATATTCCTCGCCTTAAACTTAAATTAATAACTTGCTGGCAAATTGGCCTCAAATAAATCTAATTTGCAACGATGCACTACAGAGTCCAATTGACCTGACAACAAAAGCTGCAGATTGTTAAAATGCCACTACGCGAGACTAATTTATAATTATGAAAAAACTACATAAAATGAAATCAAATTCATCGATAACTTTAATGAAAGATTTCATTTTTCTTGAGAGTCCTTACCTGATAAAGCTTGAATGAATTTTGATGTAGATAATCCAAACAGTTTGCGATTCGTTGATGTGCTTTCATGAAGCCATTCAAAAAATTTGTAGCCAACATCAGAATTGATTTGGAACATCACCTAAGGACAACAAGAAAAATTATTAAAATTCGAAATCTTTACAAAAAGGGTATCGATGAATTTAGAAATCATTTCTGTAATTTTAATAAGTCGGGTCTGAGGTATCAATGTATAAACATACATTTTTCTAATTAATAGTGGGAAATTAAATTAAATTTGGTTTTATTTTAAAAATTCTTAAAAGTTTCAAGGGTGGAAATGTTAAACATTTCCAAACTTGAAACTTTTAAAAGCAAACTTCAAATTAAAGTTTCTACTTAATTCTTTCTAGCTCGATGATAGAAACGTAGAGCCGTCAGATTTCATCATAAAAGAAGATCTTGGATTGATAATTCAGCCACACTTAAATGAATACATCAGAATTCAAAATAGCTTCAGTTTGAAGGATCTTATCAAAGAACTTCAAAAGACTTGCTGCATTGACATTCTTTGATGATTTGATTTTGAGATTTCCCAATGATCTGTCTCGACTTGAGATTAATCCAAATATTAAAACACTCAATATTCCTCGCCTTAAACTTAAATTAATAACTTGCTGGCAAATTGGCCTCAAATAAATCTAATTTGCAACGATGCACTACAGAGTCCAATTGACCTGACAACAAAAGCTGCAGATTGTTAAAATGCCACTACGCGAGACTAATTTATAATTATGAAAAAACTACATAAAATGAAATCAAATTCATCGATAACTTTAATGAAAGATTTCATTTTTCTTGAGAGTCCTTACCTGATAAAGCTTGAATGAATTTTGATGTAGATAATCCAAACAGTTTGCGATTCGTTGATGTGCTTTCATGAAGACATTCAAAACCTTTCTAGCCAACATCAGAATTGTTTTGGAGCATCACCTAAGGACAACAAGAAAAATTATTAAAATTCGAAATCTTTACAAAAAGGGTATCGATGAATTTAGAAATCATTTCTGTAATTTTAATAAGTCGGGTCTGAGGTATCAATGTATAAACATACATTTTTCTAATTAATAGTGGGAAATTAAATTAAATTTGGTTTTATTTTAAAAATTCTTAAAAGTTTCAAGGGTGGAAATGTTAAACATTTCCAAACTTGAAACTTTTAAAAGCAAACTTCAAATTAAAGTTTCTACTTAATTCTTTCTAGCTCGATGATAGAAACGTAGAGCCGTCAGATTTCATCATAAAAGAAGATCTTGGATTGATAATTCAGCCACACTTAAATGAATACATCAGAATTCAAAATAGCTTCAGTTTGAAGGATCTTATTAAAGAACTTCAAAAGACTTGCTGCATTGACATTCTTTGATGATTTGATTTTGAGATTTCCCAATGATCTGTCTCGACTTGAGATTAATCCAAATATTAAAACACTCAATATTCCTCGCCTTAAACTTAAATTAATAACTTGCTGGCAAATTGGCCTCAAATAAATCTAATTTGCAACGATGCACTACAGAGTCCAATTGACCTGACAACAAAAGCTGCAGATTGTTAAAATGCCACTACGCGAGACTAATTTATAATTATGAAAAAACTACATAAAATGAAATCAAATTCATCGATAACTTTAATGAAAGATTTCATTTTTCTTGAGAGTCCTTACCTGATAAAGCTTGAATGAATTTTGATGTAGATAATCCAAACAGTTTGCGATTCGTTGATGTGCTTTCATGAAGACATTCAAAACCTTTCTAGCCAACATCAGAATTGTTTTGGAGCATCACCTAAGGACAACAAGAAAAATTATTAAAATTCGAAATCTTTACAAAAAGGGTATCGATGAATTTAGAAATCATTTCTGTAATTTTAATAAGTCGGGTCTGAGGTNCGATTTGTTTGCTGTTTATTTCGACACTCTTTTAATCGAAATGTGATGTAAAGAAAAGTATTTCGCAATTTCTCGAAAATTATCCTCGTCGCCAATGTTCCGGTCGTGAACCACACGACCGCACGCCTCGATGTCCCCGTCCAAACTGACCCGTCACTCGCACTAATACCAGCGAGTAACCGAGTGCCGCGCCCCTCTCAATCCTACCGGTACATTTATCACACTCGAGCGCTTCTTATTTGAATCAACAGGAGATAATAATAATAAAACTACCTACTAATAAAAATCTCACGATTGTCGACGTTGAAAAGGACGTTATATCTGATAACATGACACATCTTCAGCTAGCTTGTTGAACACTCGATGTCTTCTTTCTATGAAACAGCCGCAATGTAGGTATATGACATTTATGTTACTGTATCACATCACTTCAACATCCTCAATGTATTAAAGATGTGTAAACGTCAACCGATATAAGTAGGAGATAAAAATTGATAAATTAGAAGAAATCGTTCTATTTTAAAAGCGAACTTTAATTAAGGAATTTTAAAGGGAAATCAGTTGCAGCACTTGTATACCCTTTATCAAATTCCAAATTGGCAGCAAACATAGATTAATGTTATCAATAAAACATCAGATGTTCATTACACAGATGTCTCTTTGCTATTGGTCCAAATATTTGATAAGATTTTAAACCGGATAACATCAATTGAATAATTAAAGGCAATTGCAAAAGTTAGTGATAAAGTATTCGTCAAAGTGGCACTTAAAATTGAAACATGTCTCTTGATATTATTTCTCCAAACTTTACTGAAGCACATTTAAATGAAATAATTAAGAAAAAGGGAGGATTAAGGCATACATCATGGGCTTTTGAAGGTGCTGCCGGTAAGAAAGGTGATGGCTATCTGAGTGAAGTTTATAAACTCATTCTTAAGGGTGTAGACGAAAAAGAGTAAATCAAATGAAAGTTTACTTTGATATTGTTTAAAATAATAAATCTTTTTTAATTGAAGCGAGGAGTTTGATGTTCATTTGGTAATAAAAACTACACCAAAATCTAAAGGAAGGAGAAAGACTTTCAGATCGTCTGATTTTTTCCGCAATGAAATTAATTTCTACAACATCATACTGAAGGAATTTGATGAGTTTCAAGAAAAAAAGACACAAGCAAAAAATCCTTTTAAAGAGATTGCAACATGTCTTGCTTTTCATCTTGATGGAGAAAACGATTTATTGGTATTAGAAAACCTTAATAATTATGGATATCATACGAGATCCAGACAAGAATCTATGAACATCAATTTGTGTCGTTTAATTATGCGAACTCTTGGTCGTTTCCATGGACTTTCTTTTGTCATCAGAGATCAAAATCCTAAACTATTTGAAACAATTTCTGAAGTTTTGGAAGAAACTTATTATGCTTATCGTTTGAAACCTTGGTATAATGATTTTATCAACATGCAAATTGAAGTAGCTCTTGATGCCGTGAAGAAAATTTACGGTGGGACAATAATTGAAAAGCGTGCGAAAAAATTTCTCAATGATGGTTCACTTTACGATAAAATGGTGGAATTAACCCATACAAGAAACTGTTATAGTGTGATTGGTCACGGTGACTGCTGGACTCCTAACTTTTTAATTCATTCTACAAAACATGAAGGTCAAGAAACTCCTGTCAAAGCTAAAATGATTGACTTTCAATTAGCCCGATTTGCATCGCCAGTTATCGACATTTCATTCTTCATCTATTCCTGTACAACTGAAGAATTGCGGGTTCAATATTACGACGATTTAATAAAAAAACTACCATTCAAGCTTGTGCGATTTAATAAGAGATTTTGGATCAAATCCTGACAAGCTTTTTCCATTTTCAGCTTTAGAAGTGAGTGAATATTAATTATCAGTATTATTAATTATTTCACTGAAATCTTTTCATAAACAGAATGAGCTGAAAACATTCTTTCGTTTTGGTGTTGGCATGGGAATTGAATCAATTCCTTTCTCTACAATGGAAGACAATGAAACAGCTGATATGGATCAGATTATAGGAGACGACGCAGTTCCAATAACAAATATTTGGATTTTAAAAGAGATGGAAAATATGCAAGATCAACATCGTTTGGCAGATATCTTCAAACATGCATCAGATTGTGGATATTTAGACTAAATCGTAAAAACGTGTTCCTTTGATTACCAAAACAGTTATAAGATACATAACTAAAATGAAAGATTGCAGTTTGTTATTCCTTTCGATTCTTTGCATTGGACAATTATCGAATTTCACTGATAAAACAAATTCAACTTTACATTTAATTTAATTTTATTAAATTTTCTATACTTGATATAGCATCAATTTGATAGTACTAATTTTCATTTAAATAAATAAAGAATTAACATATGTGATGAACACTTAAATTTCTATTTTTATTTATATTGATTTATGAAGGCATTGAGCCCGTAATTATCAACAGTCTTAAATTCTCTGATTAATTCATCGTCCCATGTTCGGCATTGATCGTGAAACAAAGCCAAGTCATCGGGAAAATTAAATTTAATTTCAATAGTAGTCGATGAAGATTTATAGTTAATAAAAAATGTCCAAGGATGTGTCCATTTAATTTTCCGAAACATTCTTGGAATCATTGGGGAGTTACAACCAATAGAAATTTGATGGAGTTTTGAAATGTTTGCTATCTTCAAGAATGTTGTTCCTCGAGAAAAGTCGTCATCATTGATGAAGCCGATGGAGATTTTTTTTCAGAGTATTTGAGTGAATTTCAATGAATCTATTGAACTCGAAATTAATTTTTTGAACATGAATTTCGGTCAAATTTGGAGGAAAATGTGAAGAACTAGGTAACAGTAAATAAATCGTCGATGTTTGTAGGTCGAGTTTCTTGAAAGCTTTCGTGACTGTGTAAGAAACAGCGACAACTTTTATCAATTTGTGTATCTTTAAAGCACACTTTTGTGACAGAAGGGAATAAAATTGTGAAAAGTTGTTGGGCTTGAGGTAATTTCAAATATCCTATCAATTTCAATCGCTTGAGTTTGCTTGAAAACTCGACTTTGCTTTCAGAAACACATTGAAAATTACATGAAATTGTTAATCTTTCCAATTGTGAAAAATTTTTAGCAAGTAATAATAAGTTTTGGGCTTTTAACTTGCAAATAAAACTCAAATTTATCAATTTTTCTTGATGAAGAAGAAGGAACGTCATTAAATTCGAATCTGATTCGATTTTCCCAATCTCAAATGTTTTCAACTTAAAAGGCAAATTCAAGAGAAAAAACAAATTCATTTTTCTTGAGAGTCCTTACCTGATAAAGCTTGAATGAATTTTGATGTAGATAATCCAAACAGTTTGCGATTCGTTGATGTGCTTTCATGAAGCCATTCAAAAAATTTGTAGCCAACATCAGAATTGATTTGGAACATCACCTAAGGACAACAAGAAAAATTATTAAAATTCGAAATCTTTACAAAAAGGGTATCGATGAATTTAGAAATCATTTCTGTAATTTTAATAAGTCGGGTCTGAGGTATCAATGTATAAACATACATTTTTCCAATTAATAGTGGGAAATTAAATTAAATTTGGTTTTATTTTAAAAATTCTTAAAAGTTTCAAGGGTGGAAATGTTAAACATTTCCAAACTTGAAACTTTTAAAAGCAAACTTCAAATTAAAGTTTCTACTTAATTCTTTCTAGCTCGATGATAGAAACGTAGAGCCGTCAGATTTCATCATAAAAGAAGATCTTGGATTGATAATTCAGCCACACTTAAATGAATACATCAGAATTCAAAATAGCTTCAGTTTGAAGGATCTTATCAAAGAACTTCAAAAGACTTGCTGCATTGACATTCTTTGATGATTTGATTTTGAGATTTCCCAATGATATGTCTCGACTTGAGATTAATCCAAATATTAAAACACTCAATATTCCTCGCCTTAAACTTAAATTAATAACTTGCTGGCAAATTGGCCTCAAATAAATCTAATTTGCAACGATGCACTACAGAGTCCAATTGACCTGACAACAAAAGCTGCAGATTGTTAAAATGCCACTACGCGAGACTAATTTATAATTATGAAAAAACTACATAAAATGAAATCAAATTCATCGATAACTTTAATGAAAGATTTCATTTTTCTTGAGAGTCCTTACCTGATAAAGCTTGAATGAATTTTGATGTAGATAATCCAAACAGTTTGCGATTCGTTGATGTGCTTTCATGAAGCCATTCAAAAAATTTGTAGCCAACATCAGAATTGATTTGGAACATCACCTAAGGACAACAAGAAAAATTATTAAAATTCGAAATCTTTAAAAAAAGGGTATCGATGAATTTAGAAATCATTTCTGTAATTTTAATAAGTCGGGTCTGAGGTATCAATGTATAAACATACATTTTTCTAATTAATAGTGGGAAATTAAATTAAATTTGGTTTTATTTTAAAAATTCTTAAAAGTTTCAAGGGTGGAAATGTTAAACATTTCCAAACTTGAAACTTTTAAAAGCAAACTTCAAATTAAAGTTTCTACTTAATTCTTTCTAGCTCGATGATAGAAACGTAGAGCCGTCAGATTTCATCATAAAAGAAGATCTTGGATTGATAATTCAGCCACACTTAAATGAATACATCAGAATTCAAAATAGCTTCAGTTTGAAGGATCTTATTAAAGAACTTCAAAAGACTTGCTGCATTGACATTCTTTGATGATTTGATTTTGAGATTTCCCAATGATCTGTCTCGACTTGAGATTAATCCAAATATTAAAACACTCAATATTCCTCGCCTTAAACTTAAATTAATAACTTGCTGGCAAATTGGCCTCAAATAAATCTAATTTGCAACGATGCACTACAGAGTCCAATTGACCTGACAACAAAAGCTGCAGATTGTTAAAATGCCACTACGCGAGACTAATTTATAATTATGAAAAAACTACATAAAATGAAATCAAATTCATCGATAACTTTAATGAAAGATTTCATTTTTCTTGAGAGTCCTTACCTGATAAAGCTTGAATGAATTTTGATGTAGATAATCCAAACAGTTTGCGATTCGTTGATGTGCTTTCATGAAGCCATTCAAAAAATTTGTAGCCAACATCAGAATTGATTTGGAACATCACCTAAGGACAACAAGAAAAATTATTAAAATTCGAAATCTTTACAAAAAGGGTATCGATGAATTTAGAAATCATTTCTGTAATTTTAATAAGTCGGGTCTGAGGTATCAATGTATAAACATACATTTTTCTAATTAATAGTGGGAAATTAAATTAAATTNTCAATGAATCTATTGAACTCGAAATTAATTTTTTGAACATGAATTTCGGTCAAATTTGGAGGAAAATGTGAAGAACTAGGTAACAGTAAATAAATCGTCGATGTTTGTAGGTCGAGTTTCTTGAAAGCTTTCGTGACTGTGTAAGAAACAGCAACAACTTTTATCAATTTTTGTATCATTAAAGCACACTTTTGTGACAGAAGGGAATAAAATTGTGAAAAGTTGTTGGGCTTGAGGTAATTTCAAATATCCTATCAATTTCAATCGCTTGAGTTTGCTTGAAAACTCGACTTTGCTTTCAGAAACACATTGAAAATTACATGAAATTGTTAATCTTTCCAATTGTGAAAAATTTTTAGCAAGTAATAATAAGTTTTGGGCTTTTAACTTGCAAATAAAACTCAAATTTATCAATTTTTCTTGATGAAGAAGAAGGAACGTCATTAAATTCGAATCTGATTCGATTTTCCCAATCTCAAATGTTTTCAACTTAAAAGGCAAATTCAAGAAAGCTTTATTTTGTATTAAATCGTCTGAATTGTTTTCCAAGATCTTCAAAGTTTCAAGAGATTGCTGATTTTTAATTAAGTTAACTAGATCCGTGAAATTTTCGTTTCCAATTCCATATCTGTAGATGAACACTTTCAGAGAATTTGTCGAAATTAAATTTATAATTTGTTTATCTGACTGATGAATGTCTAAGGACTCAAGACACTTTACTTAAGTAAACAATGCCAACAGAAGCATTCCTTGTTGATTCATTTAATTTAACTCCAAATAATTTCAAACTTTCTAGTTTAGTTAATGGTTTCAATGCTGCACTCAGCTCACATTTCTCAAGTTTACATTCAGTGAACATTAATGAACGAATATTATGAATAGTTAAAATGTCGAAAGTTTCCTTCTTCAAATTGTCGATATGGAAAGATTCAATCTTTCTTGTTAAGTTTGGAATTTTATTAAGATTTCCACGACTCGATGTGATGTTTAACAAATAATGCTTCATTAGTTTTGGAGAATTTGAAATTATCTGATTCCATCTAAAAACAATCAATAGAATTATAAATTCACTAACTGTAAGTGAGATTCTTACCGACGTGATACTAATGTTGTGATTTTCAGAAGTTTCGGACTGAGGAAACTAAATATTGTTATAAGAATTTCTTCCGGTAAGTTTTCCATTAAATTTCTGCTGTCAAGAAGTAATTCTGAAGTATTCGTCGTTATTATTTTGTAGTTATAAACTTCTAAGCTCATTCTCTCTATATACAGTTATATGTCAAGTTATTATTAGTTTTTTTAAATCTAACAAGTGTTTTCTTGAATTTTTCTGTTTACAAAATGTAATAAAAAGATGCCAAATTTGTTTTGAAGCAAAACCTTTGCATCATTTTAGCATAAGCGAAGCAAACGTAAGTTTACGTGTTTTTATAAGAATTTCATCAATAATATAATGTTAATTCGAAGTAAACTTCTGACGTTGTCATAAAAATATTCATACAATTAGTAAATTAGTTTGTTACTTAGCACAACATCTTGTGTATACCATCAGAAATTAAAATAAAGAAATTTTTCAAAAATGGCAATGCAAACATTAATTCAGGGATATTATGAAATCCCAATTGTCACAAGGATATATACAACAGCGTGTGTGTGGTGAGTTTCATTACCAATCTCATAAAATTTACCTGACTTAATGTTATTTTGACGACATTTCTTTTAGCACAACATTAGCCGTACATCTTGACTTAGTCTCGCCTTTTCAACTTTATTTCAATCCGACGCTAATAATGCAAGGACAGTTATGGCGCCTACTTACAACTTTCCTTTTCTTTGGCACTATTGGATTTAGTTTTCTTTTCAATATGATTTTCACATATCGATATTGTCGAATGTTAGAAGAAGGAAGTTTTCGTGGCAAGACAGCTGATTTCATTGTGATGTTTTTCTTCGGTGGTGTATTCATGATCATCTTTGCCTTCTTCATTAATCTCTTGTTTCTCGGACAAGCTTTCACTATAATGTTAGTCTATGTGTGGAGCAGAAGAAATCCATTTTTGCGTATGAACTTTTTTGGATTACTCAACTTTCAAGCTCCGTATCTTCCATGGGTTCTTCTTGCATTCTCTGTTATACTTGGCAATGCTATTTGGATAGATTTAGTAGGAATGGGAGCTGGTCATATTTATTGGTTCCTTGAAGATGTTTTTCCTAATCAACCTAATGGAAAGAAACTTTTAAAGACACCTCAATTCTTAAGAAATATTTTCGATGAGCCAGAAGATGCTGACTTTGAAGTATTACCAGAAGAACGCCCAGGAGGCGCAGGATTTCAATGGGGAAATGTAGGCAACAACAACCCTGCCAATAATCCTGAAAATGATCCACAATGATTCAGAAACATCTTGAATAAGTTTTCTTTTACCAAATTTTCTGAGTTTTTTTTCTTTTTTACTGAAAATAAATCTTTTTGATCCTGAAAACTAATTAAAATAAATATAAAAAATGAACTAAAACATTTTGTTTCAAATTGTAAGAAATCCAATTATTTTACTTTTTATTTTCAGAAAACATCAGTAGATGTAATCTTATCAACATCCACCCACGCTATGCATATTATTTTACTTATCATTTAATACAAAATGATTTTTATAAATAGATTCCAAGAAAGTAGAAAAAAGAGTAAAAAGTTTTCTTTCATTTCGAGGTCTCCAAAGTTATTTACGCAAAGATATAAAAAATAATTTGAGCCAAAAAGTTTTCAAATAGAATGACGAAAAGAGAAATCAAAAAAACTTAAATTTAGTAGTTAAATTCAATCATCACTAAATACTCCTAAAACTAATAAAACCTGAATTTTTTTTCATATAAATCTTCAATAATATTTTAGAAGAGTTTCTTAGTCTGTCAATTAGAAATACAAAAAAAAAGAAGAGTGTTGAATGTTTTTTTTTCCAACATATGTCAGTTGATTGATTGGCTTAGTTCTGATTCTGGCAGCTTCGCTAAGGCATCAGAAAGTTTTCGAGGGAAAAAAAGCTTCCGCATGACAATAATGAGTTGATGACCTCTGATAATTTATCACAAACTGCTCTCTTTTGTTGTGAAATGTTTTACGGCAACGTCATGACTGAGGAAGTGACTTATTTATATTCTCTTATGTTGGTTCCTTTATGATCTTCATTCTATGTACGTAACGATTATTATCTACTGATACGAGAACGTGCTTGCAAGTACTAAGTTTTTAAATATTCCTTTTCTTTCTGTTTTTTTTTTTGTTATAAAATTTTCTAAGACTAATTGCGGGTGAAGTAACAATAATATTTCTATCATGTTGGTGGAAGAACGAGATGCTTCTAATCTGCAATGAGCTTTCGTTGAAACAAAATCTAAAGCTTGTTCGTTCTTTCTTAGCATCTAAAAGTTTCAATAACACATTCAAGAATGAATCATCTCATATTTTGATTATTAATTTTCATTTAAATGCTTAGGGGTTTTTATCCAATTTTTCTTCTTTCCTTTCATGAGATTTTCCTTAAAATTTCTATGTAATTTAGATTATTATTTGAGAAATATCACAGATGTGAAAACTAAAAAGACTTTTGTGCTTGTTACAATTCCGAATTTGTATTCCATTCCCTCTTGACATAAATCTGCGATATTTCCCAACAAAATCCAATCAGCTTTTTTCTTCTTCTTCTTCTTCCCTTCATTAATTAACAATAACTCGACTAAATACAAATCTACTGTCTTAGTAATTTTTTTTTCTTTTCTGCTCATCCAACCAGCGCAAGTCTCTTTATCAATTTTTCCATACAAAAGATAACTAAATTAAGCTTATTTAATTTACACAACGGTGCCAAACTGTCAACGATTGTCATAAAACTTGATTAAATGGTTATTTATTTTTTATCAGAAGGCGACGATTTTAAAAACGATTTATGTTAGTGTCAGCCAATAAAAATTTCTACAACTAATCGACATGAATATTTGCAGCATCCGTTGAGGAAGAAACGAAACTAAATGTGTTTATTAAAGGAAGAATAGAATAGTTAAAAAAGAAAAGTAATGAGAAATATTTTTGTTTTCGTTATTAAACCAAAAATGTTTAAATTAAAAATAGTTTTTTGAGGAAATCGGCATCGTTTCTCACAGTGCTACTGTAGCCAGCACCACGGTGATGTCATCAGGTTTACCACCTTGAAAATCAAATGTTAACATGTAATTAAAAGTCGATTAGTTTGTATCAATGTTTACTTACCTATCGTATTAATGTTATTCTTTCTTGCGTTGATCGCAAACGGCGACATGAAGTCACTGTCGAATGATAATGAACGAGCCATCAGTGCTATAGAATTTGCAGTCATTTGAAGCTTCACCGCATCTTTTTCTCCTTCAACTTCTTTCAATGTTTCTAACAGCAATTTTTTTGGCACATTATCGAACACACCATCGGTAGCAACCAGAATCACATCACCATCTTCAACAGGGAAACTATTTCGATCAGCTGATTGAGGACTGTCACTTAGAACACGATTCTGATTGCCGGGTGGTGGAAGTGAAAGTTGGAACGGCGTGTTGAAGTAATGTTGCTGTTCGTCTGATTTATAAATAATTTCACCACCTCGTACAACTAAAAAGCCTGAGTCGCCAATATTTGCTGTGTATACTGTGCTTGTCTCTCGATTTAATATCAGAACGCAAGCTGTTGAGCTACCTGTTCATCATGAAAATAGAGTAAATATTTAAATAATTTTATCAGATCAAGATTTCTTTCATCTTTTGCCAGCAATCTGCAATGATTTGATTCCAACGGAAGCATTGACATAATTATTTCCATCGTTAATGATATGTTATTAAGTAATTTCCTTATTTTTTATTTAACTTAAATCATTTGAAAAATGAGAGAAATAAAACTTACAATTGTGCATTGAAATTCATTTATTTCTACTCGCAATCGTAACACGAGTCACAAAAATCATGTAAACATAAAATTGTTATTAATTTAAACAATTCGATGATAATTGTAGAGGTGGAAATACGACATTGAACAGATTTTTACTCCTACTTTACTTGTAGATTTTCATTTCTCTGATGGGAAATGAAAATTCTTTAATAAGTTTGTGTTGAATTTTGTAACATTTTGTGCGTCACATTTGATGATGAAATGAATTCATTCAATGAGTGAACAATAACAAAAACTACTTCATCATTATTTTTCGATCACCAAATGACGTAAGATTCAGACAGTTTTTGAATATAATCTTCTGGCATCAAAAACCAATTCTACTTGAAAATATCTCAAGAAATCATAGCTTACGAGGTTAATTGTTTCAAGAGGTGGAAAATTGTTGATATTTAGAAGAAAATTCCCACAAAAATATTCAAATCAAGCATACAATACCATATGAACAGAACAACAAAATATTTTTTCCAAAAATAAACCACGGAAAAGTAAAAAAATGCTTTTGCCGTGCTCGCTGGCAAGTCACATGATTTTTGCGTTCGTTCAATCGAAGACGACGGCGTAGTAATGTTAGTTAAGAAAAATTATATTTTGTCTGCCATTTCAATGCACAATTTTTATTATACCAAAATATTTTCTCAGGTTGTGTCAACAACGTATAAACTTTAAATAATTTCTTTAGTAAATGATGTTTAAAAGTTTCAATATTGAAACAAAAGTCGATCGATCATCTTTTTCGAATGCATTTGAGAAAGTTGTAGAAACAAAATGTACCAAATTGAATTCGTCAGTTATCTGACTTACATTTCTTGAAATATTTCTAAAAATATCCAACCCTCAAATCACGTTCTTTTGTGAATGACAATTATCATCAGGTTGAAGCAATAAATAGAAACAGAAATAAAAGAAACAACTTAAAAATCTTGTTTTCTTTACTTTAATCACATGACGAAGTCAGTCAAGTACTCAATGCAATGCATTTAAGAGAATGCGAATTGTAAACACTAAATAGAACAGAAAAACAAACCATTTGTTTGACAAAAACAAAAAAAATATTAAAAAAAAACATGAAAATTTATGACGATCGTGTGCGAGTTATCAGAATTATTTACGGTCATCAAAATTAATTGAGTTTCGTCGTTTGAAAAAAAAGAAATAAAAACGGGGGATCGTCGGCATAAAACTAATTAAAAAATTTTACGCTTTAAAGTACCAACCAAGTTAGTTGATGGAAAAATCTGTCAATTGATTTGTTTACTTTTTCTTTTAACTCACCTAAAATTGGTTTCTTGTGTTCAAGTAACTCATAGTAACTTCCAGCCAATAATTCAACTGGATGTTGAGGATTGAAATTACTACTTTGTACTAATCTCTCGCAGGTTCGCATTAGAAAATTTGAGAATTCGCCAGCATCAATTCCATAATTGCGCCAACCTCCAACTCCATCGGCAACACCTGAAAAATTAAAATAACATTAAATAAAATTTATTAATCAATTAATTACGCAAGGACACATTGATTAGTCCAAGGATCAATTCAACTCGTTTAATTACTTTTTCGCATCAAAGCTCATCGTCATTATTAAATATCTAATATATAAACACGTTCGAAATAAAGGAGCAAAGTCCAAAAGATGCTTTCCTATTATGACCTTGTTTTGTGTCTTATTTGATCATGATCGTTCTATTTTACATATTTTATTTAAATGTCTAGGAAAGATATGAATTTTTTATTTGATGAGAATTAATTTATTTTTAAGGAAATAAATTGCGTAACAAATTTATGCATCAATTTTATCAATTTAAAGTTCTCATGTACATGTTACACAACAAAGTAGCGAGAATAAGATGAATAAATGAAAAAAAAATCGATTTCCATATTTCTTCTCTTTCTCTCTGCTGGGATTTTTTTTTTGTCTTCGATTCTTATCACTCACAAGGAATATTTCACAACATAAACTCACCGATTACATCTGCGACTTTGTTAGTTGATGAGAACCAAGCATCATCACCAAATTTTCCAATCCTATATTTGGATCTTAAGTCTTTTGGAAATCCACATACAACGCTGATAAAATGAGGATTAGCTCGCTGTAATGCTGATGGTTCCAAAAAGGTTGAAAACTTATTTCTCATTAAACGCGACAATGCGCGAATTGTTATTATTGAAGATTGCATTATTTTAATCACAGCACTGACACGAAAAAGTTTTAATTCCTTTTCACCTCTCGTAAAGTCCAAATCGATTCGTTCTGCGCTCAAAACTTTTTTTTATTGATTTTTTAAGATATTTTCATTCTCAGCACATTTTTTTCTCTTTCTTTTGTTCAAACTGCGTATTTTTTGGAAAGAAGACTTGAAACCGCTTTAAAATATTCAACTTTGATCAATTTCACTTTATTGGCATCTCTCGTTGAGTATAAAGTTGAAAATGTCACTAAGCTTACTCGTGATCGATAGAAAATTAATTAAAGAGAAATTTGGATTTTTGTATCGCTCTGCAATTTTGCGTTTGCGTCATTTCTTTTGCTTCTCATAACTTTGCTTCTTTTTCGCTTCAACATTTATGAATGTGTAGGTGCGCTGAAGTTTTTAGAAAAAGTTGAATTAGATAATTTTGATTATTTATCATTTACGTGAAGAATTAGAATGGATGGACATGTATCTGAGAGCTCAACAGCGAGAGAAAAGCCTGGTGAAACAGAGGAGAGACTGAGGAAAAAGACAAAACAGCCAAGAGAACGAAATTACGGGGTAAATAAATCAAAAAACTTTTATTTTATGAATCATCGGAAATGTTTATTATTTTTTTTCTTCAACAAAGGCAACCGAACCCGCTTTAGTTACTACAAGCCAACCAGAAGCTCCTCAACCACCAAGAAGAGAGAGGAACAACACAGAATCTATTGATGAGGAAGAAGAAAAAGAAATTCTTAAATATGGTGCAAAACATGTCATCAAATTATTTGTTCCTGTCACACTCTGTATGCTCGTTGTCGTAATGACGATAAATTCAGTGAGTTTCTATACAGTTAAGGATGTTTACTTGATCTACACACCATTCCATGAGACTTCTAGTGATACAAGCGACAAAATATGGAATGCCATTGGGAACAGTAAGTGAAAGAAGTTAAAAAATTAGAAAAACTTTTAATTAAATTCATTTTAGGTATGATTCTTTTGGTTGTGATTATTGTCATGACGTTTCTCTTAATATTTTTGTACAAGAAACGTTGTTATAATATCATACATGGTTGGCTTATTCTGTCATCGTCAATGCTTCTCTTCCTGTTTTCGTATCTTTATATGGAAGAAGTGTTACGAGCTTACAACATTCCAATGGATTATCCAACAGCATTATTCATAATGTGGAACTTTGGTGTTGTTGGAATGATGGCAATTCACTGGAAAGCTCCCCTTAGACTACAGCAAGCTTATCTTATATTTGTATCAGCTTTAATGGCTTTAGTTTTTGTTAAATATCTGCCAGAATTTACAACGTGGATGATCCTTGCCGTGATCTCAATTTGGGATTTAGTTGCGGTTCTTTCACCGAAAGGTCCTCTAAGAATTCTTGTGGAGACTGCACAAGAACGAAACGAACAAATTTTCCCAGCTTTAATTTATTCTTCAACGATTCTTTATTCGATGGGAATGGCAACTGATGAAAATCCAAGACGATCAGTTGATAATGTAGATGGTGAGAATTTAAAATTAATTTAAAGGTGAAAAAACTTTTAAAAAAACATTAAAATTTAAGAATCAGCAGGTTTTAGTAATGATTGGTCGAATCAAAGTCGACAAAGAACACAACAAAGACAAATTGAAGTGCAAGCAAACGATCAAAATCGTCCAACGCAATATAGAACCGTGACAAGATCATCAGATGGTCTCACCGATGCTCAAAGACAACAACAACAGATTGAAGAAGAAGAACGAGGAATCAAGTTAGGTCTTGGTGACTTCATCTTCTATTCAGTTCTTGTTGGGAAAGCAAGTTCTTATGGGGATTGGAATACAACAATCGCATGTTTTGTTGCTATTCTCATTGTAAGTTGGAAAGTTTTCTTTCAAAAATATTTTATTTTAATTTTTTTTATTCAATTCACTCATTCAGGGCTTGTGTCTGACACTTCTTCTGTTAGCTGTAACAAGAAAAGCTCTCCCAGCATTGCCAATCTCAATCACATTTGGATTATTCTTCTGCTTTACAACATCAATCATTGTGAAACCTTTCACTGAGACACTTGCAGCTGAGCAAGTTTTCATTTAATCAATAAATTCTATAACTCTATTTGCCTATTTGTCATTTAAAGTAACTTCACTTTATTGTTCGATTATTCGATCATCTGCTTGATTAATTATATATAACATTTTGTAGAAAATAAAAGTAAACTTTCTCTATTAACGACATCTACATATATGTATGTATGTAAGAATTTTCCTAATCTATCATCACAAATGTGTATAAACATTTATTGTCCTGGGATTTATAATTCGGCTACAATCAGAGGCTTTCCTTGAGCATAAAGCACAGCATCGTGAACAGTCGCGAAACAATCAAAGTTTGGTTCACCCAATTGTGAAGCATGAATGAGCGAATCATAGACGCAATCACTTGGATGTGCGAGATATAATTTGACATCCAAAAGCTTTAACTCATTTTTAATTTCAGAAAATGTTTTACATCCAGCATTATCAAGATGTGCAACAGCTGACAAGTCAATAATCAATGTTCTCATATCTTGTCCAAAACAGCGCGCTTCTGAAAGTGTTTCACACAATGAAGCTCGACGAATTGTTCGATGATCAATTCCAATAGCATTGAATAAATCCTTCTTGAAGCCAGCACGACTTGCAAAGTTAATTGATCCACAATAATGAAAGATTTTAATGTTTGGAATTTGTTTAACTTCTTGATGTGTTTTCATATCAATATAAATGTCAGTGTTGTGAAGTTGTCCGAGAAGACACGAATAACTTTTCCATCCTTTAAGATAAAGTGCAAAGAGAGAAACCAGAACACCAATAAGAAGTCCAATGTCAATGTCGATAATGACAACAGCGATGAACGTTGCAAGCCAGACAGTCATTTCCAAAACACCTTCGCGTTTGAATCTTTTCAAACCTTTTACTTGCATGACCATTCCTTTAAGTGCAACTATAATAATTGCAGCTAAAGTTGCGCGTGGGAGTGTCTCAAATAATGGTCCAATCCAAAGAAGAACTGTGAATAAAAAAGAATAAATTATTAAATACAGTCGAAAATTAATTCCTGATCATCGATATTCACCAGATTGTTGTTGGATGACTTTTGATTTTGAGACATCGTTGAAGAGATTCAGACTATAATTGTCAACTGAAATGTTGTTCGTCTGAAAGCACACAAAAATATACTTCGCCAAGTTTTTGAAGCAATTTCTTTTGTTTTGCGATGAGTTTCTTATCGGTTTTTGCTGTTGTTTTCTCTACTCCGAATCCTTTTTTCTTTTTCTTATCTTTTTTACCCATTTTTATTTTTATTCACTACTTAATAACAGAATTTCAGAATAAAAAGTTGTAAACGAGTTTATATTCAGTTGATTGAAGGGGAAAATAATAAAAAACGTCATGTTAAAATATATTTTAAATTTTATTTTTTANCCGGAAGAAGATGATATAATTTATGAAAGGTAAGTAAATTTGTTTACATTTTAAATCATGTCATAAGCTTATTTTGTGTTTTAAAGGGAAATGGAAAAAGAAAACAGTGGTGACACTGAGGAAGAGACAATGTCAACTGTCGAGAAAGCCCTTAGAGATTTTAAAATCAATTTAAAGGTAAAAAAACTTAAAAAGACATTAAAATTTAAGAATCAGCAGGTTTTAGTAATGACTGGTCAAATCAAAGTCGACAAAGAACACAACAAAGACAAATTGAAGTGCAAGCAAACGATCAAAATCGTCCAACGCAATATAGAACCGTGACAAGATCATCAGATGGTCTCACCGATGCTCAAAGACAACAACAACAGATTGAAGAAGAAGAACGAGGAATCAAGTTAGGTCTTGGTGACTTCATCTTCTATTCAGTTCTTGTTGGGAAAGCAAGTTCTTATGGGGATTGGAATACAACAATCGCATGTTTTGTTGCTATTCTCATTGTAAGTTGGAAAGTTTTCTTTCAAAAATATTTTATTTTAATTTTTTTTATTCAATTCAATCATTCAGGGCTTGTGTCTGACACTTCTTCTGTTAGCTGTAACAAGAAAAGCTCTCCCAGCATTGCCAATCTCAATCACATTTGGATTATTCTTCTGCTTTACAACATCAATCATTGTGAAACCTTTCACTGAGACACTTGCAGCTGAGCAAGTTTTCATTTAATCAATAAATTCTATAACTCTATTTGCCTATTTGTCATTTAAAGTAACTTCACTTTATTGTTCGATTATTCGATCATCTGCTTGATTAATTATATATAACATTTTGTAGAAAATAAAAGTAAACTTTCTCTATTAACGACATCTACATAAAAACATCTACATCCAAAAGCTTTAACTCATTTTTAATTTCAGAAAATGTTTTACATCCAGCATTATCAAGATGTGCAACAGCTGACAAGTCAATAATCAATGTTCTCATATCTTGTCCAAAACAGCGCGCTTCTGAAAGTGTTTCACACAATGAAGCTCGACGAATTGTTCGATGATCAATTCCAATAGCATTGAATAAATCCTTCTTGAAGCCAGCACGACTTGCAAAGTTAATTGATCCACAATAATGAAAGATTTTAATGTTTGGAACTTGTTTAACTTCTTGATGTGTTTTCATATCAATATAAATGTCAGTGTTGTGAAGTTGTCCGAGAAGACACGAATAACTTTTCCATCCTTTAAGATAAAGTGCAAAGAGAGAAACCAGAACACCAATAAGAAGTCCAATGTCAATGTCGATAATGACAACAGCGATGAACGTTGCAAGCCAGACAGTCATTTCCAAAACACCTTCGCGTTTGAATCTTTTCAAACCTTTTACTTGCATGACCATTCCTTTAAGTGCAACTATAATAATTGCAGCTAAAGTTGCGCGTGGGAGTGTCTCAAATAATGGTCCAATCCAAAGAAGAACTGTGAATAAAAAAGAATAAATTATTAAATACAGTCGAAAATTAATTTCTTACCAATTAAAATCAACCCAGCTGATACAACAGAAGCAAATTGTGTCTTTCCGCCAGCTTGATGTTGAATTAACGATCTTGATAAAGAACATGCAAGTGGAATGCATAAGAAAAATGATCCAAAAATATTTGATAATCCCATTGCTAGAAGTTCCTGATTCGCTCTCACTTCATATTGTTCTTTCCTAGCGAAAATTAATGCCATTGACATGACGATTGAATAAGAAACAATTGTCACAGCAATCGAATCAACAGCAACAAGTCTTAATAATTCAAATGGTGGCATTTCAGGATGTGGAAGCCCAGTAGGTATTTCACCAACTTGTTTCACACCGTAATCAACTCCAAGTTTCAAAATATAAGAAATAAATGTAAAGCCACAAACAGCAATTAATTCCGAAGGAACCGGAAATTTGCAGCGTTTTGATGCCCACGGTTTAATGAATTCATTCATAATCACCATAAAAATGATGCCAGCAATTGAAACATAAACCGCATTGAGATTCGCTTCAGAAATATTCATGAAAATGTCACGAAGTGAGAGAATTATTTTAAATGCGCCTTTATGTCGTGGAACTTTAACACCTAACAGATCTTTCAATTGTGAAACCATTACATGAATTGCAGCTGCTGTTGTAAATCCATTCACAAGTGCTTCAGATAAAAGTGACGAGAGTGTGCCAAGACGTAAGACGCACATGATAAGTTGATAAAATCCAGTCATCATTGTCACTGCTGTTGCTACTTCAGAAGGTGTATAGGAATAGCTAACAACATTATTTTGTGGATGAATCAAAGTTGAATTAATTGGATTTATTGTACCGTGATTAGGATCGGAATACGTGGTAACAATTTTTGATGTCATCAAAGATACAACAGCGAATGTTCCTGTTGAAATGTGCCGTGAAGTGCCGAAAAGAAAATAAATTAAAGTTGGAAAGAATGCCATGTAAAGTCCAACTATGGGGTCGACGCCGGCAAGTAATCCATAAGCCATGCCTTGTGGTATGTGCATGATTGCAACTGTGATGCCAGCAATGATATCGTTCATCAGACTTTTGTGTATTTGATATTGTGGCAGCCATCGCAGAACTGGGCAAAAATCAAGAACGGCATTTCTTACTTTAAAGTTACGAATTTCTTCTTTGATGTTCTCCTTCGTCGTTTGCTTCTCTCTAATATAACCCGAAACTTCTCCCAATTCATCTTGATTCAACACTTTACGTGTTACTAAATAAGGAATGACATATTCCTGATCATCGATATTCACCAGATTGTTGTTGGATGACTTTTGATTTTGAGACATCGTTGAAGAGATTCAGACTATAATTGTCAACTGAAATGTTGTTCGTCTGAAAGCACACAAAAATAATAGCTTTGTTAATTATTATCTCTTCAATAACGGCTAATGTGTGATAACAAAAGATTATTGATGACTAAATCATTTTCATTATAGAAATTTATAGTTTCACTTATCATGTTGAACGTAATTCAAACATGTGTTGTGGAAAGCCCGTGATAAAAATTCAGAACTTTTACAAATATTTATGAAGAAACTTTCACATCATACCAACTTGAATTTCAATGATGTATTTAGTGATTTTGTTTTGTAAACAATAATAAATTTTCTGTTTTTTTTTATTGTGTCTATAAATAAAGAAATGGGTCGATCAGTAATTGAAATGTGTGAAAAGTTTAACAATTTGACCTTGATATCGAATTTCAAGTGAATTGGACATATCCATTTAGTTTATCAACATATTTGGATAAACATTTCAATAAATTTTGTGCGATTGACAAAAGTTCAAAGAACTAAAATTCAGAATTACGGAAACTTAAATGCGTGGAAAAATTTCCACAACTTCGTTAGATTTTATGAGCAAAAGTGATCGGTTTAATTAAACAAACAATTCCAAGAACAAATTAATCAATGATTCATTGACATGTTTGAATTGTTGATGAATTAACATCGCAAACACTTTCCTTGATTTAAATATCAAATGAAATAACTGAAAAGTTTGTGAAAATTTTTTTCTTTGCGTAATTTTAATTTATATATGCAAATGAACTTTGTTTTGTTATCGTGACAGATTATGAAGTAATTAGTCGATATCATTGATAAAAGATAAATAAATGATAAAATAAAACCACAAGCAAGGGAGAGAAGAAGTATTTTTTCAAATTATTTTCTTAACTTGCTTCACAGTTAATATCACAAATTAATTATTTGATTTCATTTATTGTTCATTTTTTCAAATGATCACAGAGAAAAGTTTTCAATTGTTCAGGAAATAAATATATCACGACAAACGTCAAATGAACTTTTAAGCTTAAATGTGTTGATGACATTTTTTAGTATCGACTCACTTCACATAAAAAATTATTCATCAAACTTACAACTTCCAATGATATTCTCAAGGAAATTTTTAATTTTAATGTTGTAAGGAAGAAAGACGATAAATTTCTTTTAAAACAACTCATTCAGAGTAGAAAAACTAACCGAACTGAGAAGAAGAAACTTTATCGTCTGATACATGGACAAATAAATTCCTCAAGAAGTTTTGATTGTTATTGATTCAATTCGATTAATTGATTTTTTTACGAAGACTTTCCAATTGTAAAAACAAGAATTTCGTCACTGGCAAGAGAATGTTTCATAACTGAAGCATTTATCAACGTCATGGAAGAATTTTTATTGATAACGAATAAAATCGCGGATTATATAAATGAATCATTTGTGGGAAGCTTACTGTAGGATGACTATGACCTTGAATTTGATTTTTAACAAGGAAAACATACGAAAGAAAAAAAATCTAAATTTGTTTTTCCTCACTATCGCTTTCAGATTTATAATTAAGTTGTGAAAAATATTTTGTATTATCTATCACACTCAAATGGTGCATAACTTACAATGGATTTTGTCTAAGTTCATCACACTTAATGAAATTTGCGCAAAGTTTACAATTTCGAGTTTTGTAAACAAATAATTTTTTCTCTTTTTTTTTATTTGCGTAAATCTTTAATTCGCAGTTATTTTTAATATCCTTTAACTTTGTATTTTCAATATTTTTTGATAATTTAGTTTTATCACATTCAATAGTTAAGTACACGTGAGGTCTGCTTGTCAACTGCTAGCTTAATATTATTATCCAAGATATTTTCCTTTGAAATACAATTTAAAGAGAAAGAGAGAAAATTGTCGATAGGCATTCAATTGCGAGAGCAGAAAACAATCAGCTGGTCGATTTTACTCTCGTATTCTCGTCGTCGGCGGAATTGGGCCTTGAATTGGGCGGAATAAATGAGGAAATAAATTAAATTGATTTTAACGACAAGGAATTAAAATAAATACCTGTTTGCAGAGATAATGAGATACTTTTCAAATAATTTTAAAACTGATCCTTTTTCAATTATTTACCTAAAATCTAATCCCTCAAATGGCATGCGTATGAAATAAAAACAATACAATTTTAGCATAGAGAAAGATTTATTTTATTCACTCAAATGTCATCAACTTCATCAAAAATTTCCTGTGGAAAAGTAAAACTAGGCATTGAGATTGAATTTCTTGCTTCCAGATGACGTTCCACCATAGCAACATCGTCAGTTTCTGCTTGACTGTTGATATTATTAAGATTTGGTTGTTTCTTTATAATAACTTTCTTCTTCCTTCCTAATGTTGAACCACTGTCTGTTTTACGTTTCTTTCCTCCAACTTTTGTCTCATCGTCTGATGTTTCAGTTCCTTCACTTTCGGTACTTTCTGTTGGTTCATATTTAAGTAAGCGATCTAATAAAAAGCTGCGATCTTTTGAAACTTTCAAGAGACGTTTCTGGTTTTGTCGAAGATTCTCTTGGAAAAATTCATTTTCCTGTGTAAAAATAGGCATTAGGTTTAAATATTTTACAAAAAGATAAACTTACGAATAAAAGAAGCTTCAGCTTTTTCTTAAGTTGCAAATATTGTTGCTTATAATTTATTTGTTGCCCAATTTCTTGATTCGATTCATCAGTATCATTTACTTCAGCCTCTTCGCCATTAGAATTAGCATTCATTTGTAACCACGAATTCATATTTGTGGAGAATTTAGAAATTAATTTTTGAATTTTTTTAGTTTTGTATGAAAAACTGAATTCGGTCTGCTCAGAGTGTAAACAAATTGGCAGGGATTGGTAAACAATATTCTATAAATACGCGGTTTTAGACCTCAACGCCAAGGCGATAAGAGCTAACTTTGTTTTCCAACAATGAGCAATACACTCTTACTCCATTGTTTAAGACCACCCTTGTTTATAGAAAAATACCTATAATGAGAAGCTGCAAAAAAAATCAAATGATGCAGAATTATTTTATTCCTTCAAGCTCACCTTTTCATCACGTAAAAGTTCAACTTCATCTGCAATTGGAATAATGATAGGCAAAAGTGTGTTTTGTGGTGCGTCTTTTGTATACGACCACTTCTCATATTTCACTGTATTGTTACAATTATATGAGTTTTACAGCATAAATGACATTCATTATGATGAACTAATTCATAAAAATGATTTTTCGCTGAATTGAGTTACATTTTGAATAATGAAATTTTGCAATGTCTTCAATGACCCATCAAGTGCCATAAGTACTACAAATTTAATATTTTCCTAATAACCTAATGTTTTTTTTAATTTTTCTATATTCCTAATATATCCAATATCGAAAATATATAATATTTAAGCACATAAATTTTTGAATTTCGGTTCAAAATAATTTGTAAATGCTTATAATCATGTATCTGCTGACGATTTTACGAGAAAATAAATCCATCACACATCAAATCGATACAAAATGTGACTAAAATTAGCTTCAACATATTCATATGATCCTTCTGCTTTGATTTAAAACTTATTTTAGAAGATGGTATCTCGATATGAAGAAAAACGGCCAAAACATCTAAGAGACATGACATCAAAATATCGTGTAAACCAAAAAATAATTTTTTCACCGTGTATTATGCAAATGGTGAATTAAGTTATATGTTTTGCGTTAATCTGATTCCTTCTCATAATTTCAGTCACCATTAGAATGATGAAAATGATAAATCACTATGAAAAAATTATTTTTTGGTTTACACGATATTTTGATGTCATGTCTCTTAGATGTTTTGGCCGTTTTTCTTCATATCGAGATACCATCTTCTAAA